TACAGATAAGGCAATGGGCACAAAGACATTGTATAGACAGAGGCCTTAATGCAGTTTCTTATTTCAGTTTCTGGAGGTGATAATGAACCAGAAGGGGTAAGCATAGGTTTCATGCCAAGAACCCTGGGTTTCTGTCCTGGCTTGCCTCTTAGAAGCCACATAACCCAGAGGCCAGGAATCCATTTCTTTAAGCCTCATGTTCTCCATCTGTAACACAGGAACAGAGTGGCTTTGAGGTTCAGACAAAGTAACAGTTACGGAGGCTACTAAATGTCAAAATTAACACAGCAAGGAGGGACGGAGCCAGCATTCAGGGTTTCTATGTGCCCCAGACGGACCCTGTTTTATACCTGACAGCAGCTCTGAGTGGAGAGAATCACTGTACCCATCTCTGAGTTGGTAAAACAGACTGGAGGAAGTCACATGACTCACCCAAGGGCACCCAGTGATCAGAACACTACCCCTTCCCACCCTGAAGAATATGTCCATGTCCTAATCCACAGCAGCTGTGAACAGGAGAGGTACTCCAGCAGGGTGAGCAGGGCTGAGCAGAATCAAAGTTGCTAATCAGCTGCTTTAAACTAGGGAGGTCACCTTGGATTACCTGGGGGCCCATAACATAGGGCCCTCAAGTGGGAGTCGGTGTTGGGGTCACAGAGGACGACCTCAGGCCGCTGGCTTGCCCACAGAGGAAAGACTGCGCAAAGGCCTGCCAGAGCTCCCGCAGCTGAGGAAGTAGGGAACGGATTCTCCCCAGCTGCTAGCTTAGGAGGCAGTGATGGGCCGGCAGTGAACAGAGGAGGGCAGCAAAAGGTGGGGACAGGCAAAGACCCTTTGCATGCTTGGGAATGAGAGAACTGGTGAACAGTGGGCCACACAGAACTCGGAGGCCCTCTAGTCAGTGCCCCTCCATCTTTTGCACATTAGAGTTCTCTGAGCAACTTTGAATCACACTGCCCTAGGCTCTCATCAAGACATCTGAGCCAACCTCTGGAGGTGAGTTCTGCACAGTGAACTCACTGACACTGAGCCACATGCCCAGCCTTATTTTTTATTTTATTGAGAGACAGGGTCTGAGTTGCTTAGTGCCTCGCTTTTAGTGAGGCTGCCTTTGAGCTCGCAATCCTCCTGCCTCAGGCTCCAGAGCCCCTAGGATTACAAGTGTGCACCAACTCGCCCTGCCAGCATAGTGCCTAATTGGGCTTTCTCAGGGAAAGAAACTCCAAGTTTAGGGGTGCACCCTGTGTTGTTACCAGTGTTGTCTTATACAAGGTCCCCAAGCAAAGTCAGGGCAGTGCCTGGCCAGAAACTAGAATTACAAGTTCTCAAATGGCTTCAACATATGCCAAATTTAAGAACCACTGAATGTACCAAATTTGTTTAAAAGATAAAATGTTATAGTATAGTATGGAACACCAGTGTTACTTACAGAGAAGACAGTGATAACAGGACATATAATAGAGAAAACTGGATCCCAAAGAGACTGGAGAACTTTGGAGCTGTTACCGACACACACCCCCACACTAACAAGAGAGACTGGAGGAGAGTTAGAAAGGGGGCAGATTTCCTAACAAATGCAGCAGGGTGGCCCATGCCTTCTCCCTCCAGGGCCTCAGCCAGGGCGCTTAGTTCATCCCTTCTGCTCAGAGATGCCACAAGGGAAACAGGACAGGGCCTGAACTTTCCCACAATTTTTAAGGTAAGCATTTATAAGCAATGGGGCAGGCAGACCTCAGATTGACAGGAACAAGATGCTGGGCAACACAATGAGGGCACCAGGTGGAGGGAGGGCAGTGAGGCCCTAGAACTACTAACTGGGCTTTCTCAGTGAAAGAAACTCCAAGTTTAGGGGTGCACCCTGTGTTGTTCCCAGTGGTGTCTTGTCCAAGGTCCTCAAGCAAAGCCAGGGCAGTGCCTGGGCCAGAAACGAGAATTACAAGTTCCCACCATCACTTAATCCCGAGGAAACTCGTGGCTCATTGAAAGGCGAGGACTGACAGGGGTCAAACAGCATTGGACATGGCAATAAGCGGTTTCTGGAACTCCGTGTCTGAGCACGAAACCTGTAGCATCCCTCAGCGAGGAAAAAGCCATTCGTTGCGTGCTCAGAAGAAGGCTTAGCGGCCCCGAAACCCAATATACTCATCAGCTCGCAGATCCACTTCCCAGATCCTAAGGGAAGGGGTGGCTTGTCCAAATCCTCAGCCCCAAATGAGGGCGACGGTTACCAAAGCCACTGACGCAGGAGCAGTCACTACATGAGGACCTCTGTTCTTAGGAACCCTTAGTCCTCGCCACAATCCTACCGAGGCGAATTCCACAGTCACCCTCATTTCACAGATGGGGAAACTGAGGCACGGGGCCTATGCACCCTGCTCGAGGCCGCTGAGCTTGAGCTCCGCGGAACATCTCACAAAGGGGGGAACCGAGGCGCAGAGAGCACGAAGAGTCCTACCATTTCCAGAAAGAGGGGGTACAGGGCGGCACAGAGCTCACAACGGCTTCAGCCCACTCAGGACTGTGACGTCACAGAGGCGGGGGACACACCGTGGACCCCGGGAAGCCGCGGCGGGGCCTCTCCGCTCGGGAACGAGGCCCGGCGCGACCAGCGACCCAGCGGGCCCACCCAGACTCTCCGATCCCGGCAGGCGGCACGGAAAGGCGGTGGGTCCCCGCCATGCGCATGTGCCACTCCAGAAGCTGTGGCCTCTCCACCAATCGGAGTCCCGCCTCTGGCTTGGCCCCGCCTCTTTCCCCAGACTTCCGGCGTCTCGCCATCTCCACGGCAATCCTCAGCGCGAGCGGCCCAGGGTCTTCTGGGTAATGTGTGGAAGCAGCCCCGGGCGCCCGCGGGCTCTTGGATCAGAAGCCCCCAGGGCGGCAAGCCTCTCCGCGCTGTCGGCTGGGGCAGCAGGCGGAGCGCGAGCGGCGGCCCAGCCCCTGCACGGGCGGGAGCCGGGCGCGGGTGGCAGCTATCTGGGCGGTCGCTCGCGGCTTTCTGAAAGCGTCGCGGTCACCACGGTAACACTTTCCGCCCTTGCGTGGTGACGTCACATGCAGGTCGTCTGCGCATGCTCTGGGGGAGGAGGCGGGTCCGTGGGGAACGGGCGTCCTGGCCTCTTGGGTGCCGTTGGGCGGTGGGCTGGTTGGGACCTGTGGTGTGCGCTGGCCTTTGTACGTTTTGCCGCGCCACCTGAGTTAGATTCGATTGGCGAGACAGCCGTAAGGATGAAGGTTTTCTCCATTTTAGTATAGAAGTTTCAGTGCACCGAGTGCAAGTGTCCATATTTCTGCTCCCTTTTAAGGGATAATCTGGACATGGGTTCATAAACTCACCCACAAAACATCACCTCATTCTTTTTTCTTTCTTTCTTTTTTGGTACTGTTGTAGGGACAGATGAGGCAGAGCAGAAGAGAAAGCAGGAAACAGTTTTACTTGGCTGCAGCCAGCTTCAGAGGGTGCAGGTTTTGCTGGAATCAATCCCCTGAACCCCGAGTTCAGGTAGTTTCAGAAGTTAATACCCGGCATGTAAGGGGAGGGGCTCAGAAGTTCCCATAAAAGCAGCTTTTTCTTTCACTGTTCCAGGCAAGTTAACCCTCCAAGGACCACACCTGAGAATGGGGGAGCTTCTTCTCCGCTTTCTTTCCTCCCCCTGCCAGCTGTTACCATGGAGCCCAGTTGGTAACTCCTCTTATCCAAAAAATGTAGACATCTCTGTGAAGCCCAGCTCCAGGCCAGAGGCCTAAAAATCACGTTCCATTTTCAAACACACTTTTACAAATTTCTGGATAAATGTTTGTGAAGCAGCACGAAGCACCTGGAGTGCTGCAGGCCAGTGGCCAAGTTAATAGAGCAACAGGAAAATAGGAAGTTTACCTACATTGAACTCTTGTAGAGACTCTGTCGTTGATAGTCCTAAAATAAATTATGGTGAAGGTTTCTGGAGAAGCTTAGGTAAGGTTTTCTGAGGAGAAGAGTGTGCCATTACAGTTCTGGATATTCAGCTCAGGGGCACTAGACCACTGAACCCCATCCCCAGCCCTATTTTGTATTTTACTTAGAGACAGGGTCACAACTGAGTTGCTGAGGGCCTCGCCATTGCTGAGGCTGGCTTTGAAGTCGAGGTCCTCCTGTCTCAGCCTCCTGAGCTGCTGGGATTACAGGCATGTGCCATGGCGATCACCTCATTCTTATATCAAAAGATTGGCAAATGGGCATACAGTTACATATTTTAAAACAAAATGCTTAAAATATGTTTAAATTCTCCATTTCAACCAACTTGATGAACTAACCAGATGTTGCTTCTATTATGATAGAACTTCTGTGCTGTTAGTTTGCAGATGATAAAATAAGGCATTAAGAGGTTATAACTTCGGCGGGGCACGGTGGTGCATGCCTGTAATCCCAGCAGCTCAGGAGGCTGGCGAGTTCAAAGCCAGCCTCAGCAACTTAGCAAGGCCCTAAGTAACTTGGCGAGACCCTGTCTCTAAATTTAAAAAAATAAATATTAAAAAGGGGTGGGGCTGGCTGGGGATGTGGCTTGGTGGTTAAATGCCCCTGGGTTCTAGTCCCTGTACCAAAACAGAGAGAGAGAGAGAGAGAGAGAGAGAGAGAGACAGACAATAGCTTCCTCCACATTGCTGTATCCAATAAGAAGTGGAACTGGGATTGAACCCAAGAACGAGGACACTGGGCCTCCCCAAATGCAGGCAAGAATATGCTGCTGGACAGGGGGCTCAGCTGCTTCTGGGGCAGCCCCCAGGTCTTTACACAAAAGAATAGGGATGCTGGAATAAGGTCTGCAGAGGCCAGTCCCAGGTCTGTCACCGTGTGACCTTGGGCCAGCATCGAACCCTCTGAGCCGGCTCCCTCCACCTGTACAGCTAAAGCTCCGTAGAACCTTCTGGTAGGATTGGTACCTATATTAAATGATAGGTGACCTACCTCTGTCCCCTGTGTCAGTGCTCGGCGTTGGGTGGGTGGAAGAATCAAGCACTTAGCCATTCAACAAGTGTGCATTTAATTGGGGGGATCGGCAATGTCTGGAGACCCCCCAAGAGGTTCACTCGGCTACTCTGGGCCCATCCTCTAACGCGGCCTCAAAGAGGCAGACAGAGCTGCTGCCACCCTCCACGCTGGCCATCCAGGGGACAGAGGATTCTCTGGGAGGTGGAGGCCCCTGAAGGTTGAGTTGGGCAGAAGGACGCGCACTAGAAAGCACAGCAGGGGTCGTTCCTGAGGAAGGGAGGAAAGGGGAGGGCAACAGTCTGTGGGTGTCCTTGTGTCTTCACGTCCTCATGCACTGCCAGGCCGCCCACGGTGCCCACGCACCTCTGCATGGCCCTCCGCAGCTCAGTCCCGCCACCTTCTTCCTGGGCCCCTCTCCCCTCACTATGTTCTTCCCACTGTGTCCCCCGCACTGGCTCCTCCCCATCTCAGCAGGGGCTCAGAGCAGGGGGCTCTCCTAGTCCACAGAGGGGAGAAGGCTGCCTGGGTCACAGCACCTGTGAGCTCTCGGGCCGCTTGCTTGTCCCCACCTGTCACTAGAGGGTCCGCTCCAGGAAAAGGGACTCTCCTGGAAGCCACTCTTTGCAGAGCAAGGGTCAGGCCCATGCGGCCTGGAGCCCCAGGTGCCACAGCTCCCAAAGGAATCGCCCAGAGAAGGGGCTCTCACACTGCTCTGGAGTGGAGGGCTGGGTCCAGCCTGCACCCCTCTAACAAAGGTGCTGTTTTTAATAATCGAGGCAAAATTCACCTGACGTAAAACTCCCCCTTTTAACCATTTTAAAGTCTGCAGCTCAGTCTTGTGTTCATACCCTCATGATGTTGTGCAGTCATCATGACTAATAGCAGAAATTTTCATCACCCCCCAAAAAAGAACCCCTTACTACCCCAGCCCCTGGCAACTAGCAGTCGGCTTTCTGCCTCAGGCTTCGTCTATTCTGTACATTTCATATTAATGGAATTGTACACTGTGGTCTTTTGTGTCAGGCTTCTTTCACTTAGAATGACTTTTTCAAAGGTTCACCCATGTTGTGGCAAGTATCAGAGATTCACTCCTTTTTATGGCTAACTAGTATTCCATGGTACCAATACACCCTATTCTGTTCATGCATTCATCAGCAGATGGGTACAGCCAGGCCCAGCTGTTTGTGTACCGCCAGTGGTTGCTGTGGCTGCAGTGGACACAGTATGGCTTGCCAAGCCAGCATACTGGACTGACTGGCCTTCACAAAGAACGTGGTCCCCCTCCGGCCTAAAGGGTCAGATACTCTCATACCAAAACAGAAAGGTGTGACCCGTGCTGCAAAGTACGGTCCGGGGGGGCGGGGAGCATCATTCCTCCATTGCCGCTAGCTGCCCTAAAGTGGTGTCCACCCCTGAGCCCAAGGGGGGCCTAGGTGAATCTTGAGGCTCAGGAGGAATGTTCCAGGCAGGCAGAGGGAGGAACACCATTCCTTCCTGTGAACTCAAGATTCTTCTCCACCCTGTTCACCACTGAGTGCAGGATCCATCCATTAAAGGGTAGCTGATCGGGGCTGGGGCTGGGGCTCATGGTAGAGCACTCGCCTGGCACATGTGAGGCCTGGGTTCGATCCTCAGCACCGCATAAAAATAAATAAAATAAGGGTATTGTGTCCAGCTGCAACTAAAAAGTAAAACTTTTTTTTTTAATTTTTTAAAAATAAAAATTCACTGGGTAAATTCCCCAATTAGTTAGACACAGAATTTCACTTGACCTCACAATTCCATTCCTAGGTGTGTACTCAGAAGAGTTTTACAGGTTCAAACGAAAATTTGTCCACAAATGTTCATGAAAGTCCTGTCCTCAACCATCAAAAAGTGGAAATGACCCAATGTCTTTCAACTCTAAGTGGATAGATGAGTGTGGTAGATCCATACAATGGAATACTATTCAGTCATACAAAAGAATGGTGTGCCAACACACACCATGACCTGGGTGAGCTTGGCCAACTGCATGAAGCCAGCCACGACACAGAGTGGGAGTCCACTTACAGGAAAGGTCCAGATGTGTGGACCAGTGGAGACGGACAGTGCACTCCTGGCTGCCCAGGCCATGGGGAGGGACCTCTAAATGGTAGTTCCCCTTTTCTGAAGGTAGTGGGGATGAATGTCGCCAGGGGCAAATTCTGTGTCCTGTGTATCTTTTCACAATTCTAAAAACCCAAGACAAAAGGTGTCGAGTTCACTCACAAGGGAGCCCCCGCCCCCGCACGCCTGCTTCACTCCCAGTGGGCTTGCTGGGCCACCTTGGCGGCCACTCAACATGAAGGGCGGTCACTTGGGGCTTCCCCACAGTTCTGTGATTCTGTGGCTGGAGCCTGCAGACCGCCGCGTGGCGCCACCCTCCCGGCCGCCATACCTGTTGTCCACTTCCGGGTTACAGTAGTGACAGTAGCACTTGGGGACACGGGGCCAGCCAGAGGAAGAGGCAAACAGAAGCAGCAGGTGAGGTGCAGGCCCGCCCCCTTGCCGCCACCCCACCCACCCTTCCCACCCGCCCTGGTCCCCCCTTCCCCTGGGGTCCAGCGCCCTCGGCCGCTCACCCAGTCTCCTCTGTTGTAGGACACGAAGAGGAAGGTCACCATCATGTAGGCGCACCTGAAGAGGTTCCAGTGGGTCCTCTTCACACTGAGCTTCTGGGGGAGGCTGGTGACCAGGACAGGCTTGACTGAGGGGACAGGGGACAGAAAGCCTCGCCCGGGGAGCTCCACACCCGTCCCCACAGCCCCCGGAGCCGGCTCCCGTTGTCACCACCACTCACACAGGCCAGCCTCCCATCCAGACCCGGCCCAGGCCGACCCCGTCCCCCGGCCTCATCGGACCCCTGCCCCCGCCACTGGCCTGGATCCGCACAGGGGCCTCTGTGGCACCCTCAGGTCCCTCCCGGGGGCACCCGCCTGGCCCTGCTGCTTCCTCGTTCAGACCTCGGGGCCACCATGGTGCTCCTGCCCCCCCCTCTCTCCCTCCCCTCAGGGACACCCACGTGGTTGAGGCCCGCAGGCCTGCCCCAGCAGCCCCAGGTAGAAGCCCTGACCACTGCTGCTGGGCAGGAAGATGCACATGCAACACACACAGAGTGTTCTCCTGCCGACACTCAGCAAGAGGCCCCCCCCTCTCAGAGTGTCACTGGGTCCCTTGGAATGGGGGCAGGTCATAGGAACCTCAAGCCTCCGGCCCCAGCTCTAGGGCCTGAGCCCCGTCTCTGGGTGACCTAGCCCTCCCCTGGGGACCACGTTGCTCCTCACTGCCCTGCAGCGCTCTGGCTCCATCCCGGGGGCGCTGTGCTGTGGGCTGTCCTGTTCCCTCTCTTCTCCCTTTGTGGAAGGAGGTTCTGGATGGGAGGGCTTTTTGTTTTAAAATCTCACCAGCAGCAGCCTGTCTGCAGGAATGCCCTCCCATGCCAAGGCAGATTCTAGGTGCCGTTAAGAAATGAGTTGTCAGCCAAGCATGGGGTGCAGCCTGGAACCCCACTACTTGTAAGGTGGAGGAGGCTCGCAAGTTGGAGAGCAGCCTCAGCGACCTGGGCCCTGTCTCAAAGTAAAATGAGGAGGCTGGGGAGGTGCCTGCGGACTCGGAGCTGAGGCCCTGGCTCGTCCCAGCCCTGGGGGAGGGGCGTGGTCTTTTCTCTCTGCACACCCGGGAGAACACCATTGTGGGAGTGGGAAGGACACGTGTGTCCTGGGAACTCGGGAAGGGACCTTCGCTGCTGCAGCGTCACACGCTCCTGGTGACACACTAAGGTGTCCCCTTCCAGGGCTGGGCGGCATGTGTGAAGCCCGGGTTTAATTCTCAGCACCGCACGTAACTATGGAAGTAAAGGCCCATCGCAGCTAATACAGACATTTTTTAAGAAGGATGTTCCCTTCCGTTCCTGGCTTGCCGAGACTTTTTTTTAAACATCATGAACGACTGTTGAATTTCATCATCTTTTTCTGTATCTACTAAGATGATGAATCTGATGTTCCCTTTTGTGTTAATGAGGTGAAAGTTACATGAGAATCTTCACGTATTAAGCCATCTGTGCACTGTTGAGATAAACTTAATTTGGTCGTAATTTTTAAAAAAACTTTTTGCCTGTTTAGATTTGTTGATTCTAGTGTGGAGTTTTTCGTCTGTGTGGGTGGGAAAGGTTACATGGAAGTCTCCTCTCTGGTACTCTCTCAGAGCTTTTATCAAGGTGGCTTTGTCCTCAAAATGAGTTGGAAGTGACTGGTTTAATTTTCTGGAACATCCCGTGGGAGATGTCAGCCTTCAGAGTTGAAGGGCCCCGGGAGGCTTCTGGGAAGGGACCCTCTTTATATTCCTTCATTAGCTCTTGGACACTGCAGGCCGCCGCCCTGCCCTCCCGGCTCTGGTCTCCCTGCCCCTCCTTGGTCCCCTGAGGTCTGCTCACTAATTCCCCTTGCTGCTTCCAAGCCCAGCGGGGGTCTGGAGTCTGATTTCATCCCGTCGTCTGTGTGAACCGTCCTCTGTATGAACCGTAACCCGAGAGCCATTTTCAGGAATCTCTTGTGACTTCAGTAACCCTGGCTGCGTAGCGCACTGGTGTCCATCGTCCGGGCCACCCGGCGCCGCCTGCTGTCCTCTGACTTCCCCTCAGTTTCCATCCACATAACCCTATTTCTCCAGCAGGAGAAGCACCCTGGGTGTGCCCGGGTGTGCCACTGTCCGCCACACGGCGATGCGGACCATGGGACCAAGTGGCTCAGATCAGGAGCTGCCAGGTGCAGGCTCCTGCCCCCAGCTGCCCGCCCCGACTTCCTCTTCTCAGGGCTGTATTATGCCCAGAGGAGGGCGCTCACCCCCACCCCAAGGCGCTCACCCCCACCCCAAGGCGCTCACCCCCCAGGGAAGGCGCTCACCCCCCAGGGAAGGCGCTCACACAC